CAAAATTGGTAACGGTTAGCTCGACCTCTCTCGTAAAAACGACTGAAAGAACCCGGATATATTCTCAGCCTTTGCTTTGTTCTCGAAAATTTCGGCGCCGTCATCCGTTTTTAACAACGGGATGGGGTCTCTATTTAGGGTAGATAGCCTAATGTAGTTGTAGAAGACCTTCGGATTTCCTACTACACGGTTTATTAGGTCACTCTCGAAGCTTTGGCGGGTTTTTAGTACAAGGCCCTTGACCCTATTTCGCTGCGCTTTGTACTTGTTGTGCGACTCGCTTATTCCAGTTACTTCTCGGCCACTGCTTGCAACAGTGCGACCGTTGATTTTGGCGCCGCTTGCTCTTCTAGCATCGCCTGGAGCCTGGCTTGGTCCACGGCTTCACGCTCAAACTCACCTGCTTTTTACATAAGGTCCTTTGGAAATTTCCATTTGTTTGGCAACTGTAAGGTCTGCCGTGCAATGTGTTCCCTTGAACAGCCCATTCCCGAGGCCCAGCAGGGAGATCAGATTGTTGCCGGGCTTCGATATGTTAACGCCTGACAAACAAGCTTTGTCATCGAAAACGATAATTACTTGGAAGGCAAACTTAAACTATATGAGTGTATTGCTTAATGTCCATTCCTGGACGGCAGTTGGTTTTAATTCAGGTGACACAAGAGTCAGATCTTATACGCTTTCTGTGAATAAACGGTGACCGGATGACTTGGCCTTCTGTGAAATAAAGGTTAAATAGCCACTCATCACATCACACAATCAGTCCAAGCTTCAGTTAAAACAGATTTTAGCATGATGTGGTGGATAGTGCCATTGATCAGCATATGAATCAATCGTGTAACACACTAACATTACTGGCTGGGTGATCTAAATGGGCTGCACAATGGCAATGCTTATCGATGATATGAAAAATATAATTATACATATACGCGCTTGCGATACATGTAGACAGCTGATTAATATTAACCGTCTAGCATACCAATCCGATCGTTGGCTTTCTCTACGTGCATTTTCTCCTGGTCTACTTTAATTATCAAACCATTGAAGGTTCTTCACACAGATGCGGTGAGGTCCCATGGATAAAAATTTTGAAA